TGGGGGCAGCTGCGACCTTCCTCTGGGTTCACCAGGGGTGTTGGAGAAGGTGGGCTGAGGCGGAATGCCCTTCTCCCGCAGTGGCCACTGTACCCGGTGTGCCCTGTGTCCCCCATGTCCCTCCGCAGCTCGTGCTTCGTCCATCTAGGGGCCGTGGTGGGGCACACGCTGCAGATCCTGAGCCGGCCCCGGCTGGAACTCTGGATCAGGTGGGCCACTCCCCTGGGGAGCCGCGTCTCCGACACAGGTGGTTGGTGTGCGTGTCTGGGCCAGCGTGGGAGGGCTGGTCTCTGTCCAGGCGCGGTATTTTCTCAGGACCTTAACTTGTGGCTCTAAGCGTCAGCTGAGCCCCACTGGCTAGCATCACCAGCCCTGGCCACACGCACACTGCCACACCTGCAGAACACACTGGGGCCCTGCCTGGGTGGTGGGGGGTCCACAGAAGTGGGGTGGAAAGCCCACTCTTAGAAAGGTTCTGTTTGCTGTTGGGGCCAGGTGGCCCAGGCAGGGCCCTGCAGGTGTCCTGTGGCGTCTCATAGAGTAGGGGGAGTGCTGGGCTGTGGAGAGGGTCCCCGGCAGGCAGAGTGGGTGTCTGGCCATGGCGCCCTGGCAGGTTGGAGAGCGCACAGACGCCCCGTCCTGCAGGAGACGCAGCAGCAGGAAGCTCTGGCGGTGGGTTCTTGGGAGCCGGCATCCTCCCATTCTGTCCTCTGAGCGCTGTGATGGTCCGGAGGCTGTACACGTACCTCTGTTCCCTTGTGATTAAAGGCCCAATGTGTGCGTGCTCCTGGGCTCCTACCTTTGCCCCAAGCTCCCCTAGATCTGTGGACTGGGAAGCAGGTGCCAGTGGCAAGGAGGTCCCACCCGTGAAGGGCTTGGCACTCCGTCACCTCCCAGACTCCTTCCTGATCACAGCTGGGCCGCGCCCCTGCCTTGAGGTCTGGTCCAGCTTGTTCCTCAGACAGGTGTGGGCGGACCTGCCTCTTGACCTCACGCTCGTGAGTCATCTGCAGCCTTCCCCGTCGTCGGCTGTGCCTGCAGCAGTGGGCGCGGCTGTGGGAGCCTCGCGGCCCCCTGAGCTGCCCGTGCTGTGCCCTGTGTGTTTGGGTCTCTGCAGATCCAGAGAGCTTCCCGTCCGGAGGCCTGGTTTCCCTTTTTCTAAATACCTGGCCATGCTTTCAGGGGGTGGCTCTGAGAGCGGATGGCCTTGTGCAGAGGTGGTTCTCAGAGGAGCCGCTGAGAATGCGTGCCCCGAGGAGGAGAGGACGCGCTTCCAGGGTCGGGGTCGTGAAGGCAGCAGGGAGGAGGCGCAGCTCCCGGGCAGCTGTCCCTCGCATGTACGCAGGCAGGGTGCGACTCTGGCTCTTGTCTGTGGCCTGGGGGAGTGGGTTTGTGTTGGTCCCAAGGCTGCATGCTGGGAGCCTGAGCCCTGGCCTGCCCCGGGAGCTCGCACTGCAGTGCACATGCTGTTCAATGTTCTTGTGGGCATTGGACCCCCTCGCCCGCGGTCCTGCGTGCCTTGGCTGGTGCGCTCTCCCACGGTGTCGGGGCCGGTGTAGCCATTGTGGTGTACTTGCTGTCTTGGGGGCTCGACTGTGGGTTGGCATGAGTCCCTCGGCATGATCGCTCTGCTCCTTTGGGAGTCCGTGCTGGTCGAAGCTGCAGCGACACGCAGTCCTTTGGGCCCTGGAAGCTGTGGCGGGAGGGAGGGGATGGGAGGAGAGCATGGCCAATGTTGAGGTCCACCCACGTGTGGGACCTGATGGTCAGCAAGGTGTCTGTGGGCACACACGGTGCTGCGGGGCCCCGACACGCGGGGCGGGGACCGGAACAGTGCACTTTGGGCCGTTGGCATAAGCCAGGCTGGAGCGCACGCTTCCTGGAGGCACCCTCTGCTCTCTCCCCGTCATGCTCACTCCTAAGTGGCAAATTCAAGGGGCCCCGAGTCTCCGAGTGCACCTGCCTGTTCCTCTCGAGTCGGAATGTACCCTCAGGTGGGCACTGCGTGTCCATGTTGCCCGTGGCCCTGCCCTGAGAACCGCACGGCGGCCACCGCTGAACGTGTGCTCTCCTTTCCCCCGCCACCCCTAGTTTGGCTCTAGGATGTGTGTGCCCACCAGAGGGGGGCAGTGAGAAACCACCCCCGGGCTGACCACTCTGCAATCCCCCTTCCTCCAGGCTCCTCAGGATTTGGAGCACACGTGCAAACGTGTTCAGTATGATTTTCAGGCCGCGGAGTGGGGACTGGAACTGTGCCGTTGGCCACATGCGACCCAGCCCTGTGACCGCATTTGTTTTCTGTGTTTGTTTTTTTTTTTTTTTTAGGTTTTTTGCCATAGAGAGCACGTGCTGCCAGAGAGAGGCAGGAGGAGACAGTGAAGGGAAGAGGAGGAGGAGTCCCCAGCGGGAGGGCCATGCTGCGTCCCTTCTGCATTCTTGTCTTGGGATTTGGGGCATGCATGCACGTGTACCCGGTGCACTTTTTCAAGCCTCTGGGTCTGGGACTTGAACCGCGATTGGCCACATGGGAATCAGTACCTTAACCACCACACCACCTGCTGGCCACTCCTGTACATTTTTAAATGCAGGGCCAGCCCACTGCAGCTTCCCTGTGCTGCGACCTGGGGTTGCTCTCATGGCCATCACGGCAGCACCCCGTGGCCCCCTCTGTACTCAGGTGCTCGCGTCCAGGCTGCTCCTTTTCTGCAGTGATCTGTCATGGCTGGCGCAGGCTCTGGCAGCGGTTGGCCCTGAGGGACAGGTGGTCACGGGGTAACAGCCAGGTGCCCTGCTGAGCCTCCCTCCTGCCCCTCGCTCACCTCGCCCCACTCTGACCAGGCCCGTCACCGCAGTTTGCAGGTGGAGCACTGACGCTCAGAGAGCCCAGGCTGCAGCCGTCCAGGACAGTGTGGCCACTCGGCCCCTGGTGGTGCTCCAGCCTGCCTCGTCTGTGAGAGCCGGGTCAACCGAGCAGTGAGGTGGTGGGAGCCGTAGCTCTTCTCTCTCACCCTTCCTCGCCTGCATGCTGGGCTGGGGGCGAGGGGCGCTGCAGGCCCGCTCCTGCCGCCTCCGCGGGTTCTGTCAGTCTGCCGAGACCAGGCCTGACCAAAGAGGACTTCTCCAGCTCCTGCCTCCTGCCGACCCAGCCAGCCGCCCTGGACTGGCCTGGTCCTCGGGTTGGCCGTCCAGTGACGGGACGCTGTGTCACAGAGCAGGCAGGACCCCACACTCCTGACGGCCAGCTCTGCTCCTGCTGGGCCCTGGGGCTGTGTGCCGGCCTCCACGCTCCCGGCCTGGACTCCAGGCTCCAGGTGCTGTCCCCGTGGGTCGGATCCCCGTGCAGGCTGCTGCGGGGAGGGCCTTGGGCCGTGGCGGTGTCCCATACTCCCTGCTCATCCCCTGTCCCACCCACCCTCCTCCGGTGGGAGGTCTCCCACTATGACCTGCTCTTCCTGCCCGCTTCCTCCATCTCGCCCCCCCTCTCAGTCTCCCACCCGTCTCGCCCACCCCTTCCTCGACCGTTCCCTGCTCCCCCACCCCTGTCTCTCCCACCCGCCTTGGTCTCCCCATCGCTCCCTGCTCTCTCTCACTGCTCCCCCACCCCCGTCTCCCCCACCCGCCTTGGTCTCCCCACCGCTGGCTGGACTTTGCACCAAGCCCAGCACTGAGCCTGGCGTCTCCGTCCTCTGTCCGTCTGCTCAGCCGTCTGTCCTCAGGCACCTCTGTGCCAGCCTGGGCCAGGGGCGAGGTGTCAGCGAATGGAAGCGCAGTCTGGTTTCTTGTGCCGGAGGGGTGCTGAGCGGGCAGATTTAGCCCAGGGTGGGCTGTGCCTTCCTGGAGGAGGGGGATGTGAAGAGCAGCCCGACCAGCAGTCCTCCAGCGACGGCCCTTCCCTGCTCCCTTGGCAGGGCGTCACCGGTCAGCTGGGTGTGGGAGTTCCCGGCCAGGGCGGCCAGCATCCCTGTCACCCGTGCCCTCCTCTTGAGGTGCCCTGGGTGCTGAGTAGCCTTCTCCCTCAGCCCTGGGCTGTCGCTGAGGCCTGTCTCCTCACTGCAGGGCCCGAGAGCCCGGCGTCAGTGTGGGCCTGGGCCTCCACCCCTCCCTGCGGGGGCCTGTGCTGGCCGCTGTGGTAAGGGCAGCCGCCACTGAGGGACAGGCTTCGGGGCTGGCTTCCACCTGGCCGGGCTGTCATGTGAGCTTTGACCAAAGCCCAGCCAGTTAATGTCTGATTTTAGCCCCTGCACCTGGCCCGTCTTTCAGTGTCCCGTGAGCACTCACAGGACACGTGTGAACGAGGCGTGACGTGGCCAGCAGGTCCTTGCAGGTGGTACTCAGATCGTTGTGCAGTGCACGTGTGACTTTTATATTAAATGCTTGGGGCTGGCTGGTGGCATGGTGGTTTAAGGCACTGGACTCCCACATGGCCCAGTGTGGTTTGAGTACCAGGCCTGGAGGCTTGCTTTCGCTCTTCTTTCTTTGTGTGTGTGTCTCTTTCTGGAAATATTAAAAAATAATAGGGGGACCAGCAGTTGGCGTAGTGGCTACGTCACTGAACTTCCACGTAGTCAACCGTGGTTCGAGTCCCGGACC